ATTTCTGGCAGTCAGTTACTGGAGCTGGTTTATAACAATTGTTTTGCCAAGTCCAATGCTGCTCAATGCTGTCTCCTACCTGCATCTGGGGTTTATGCAGCTAATTTTATAAATTAAGCTAAAGCTGGCCAGTGTAGTCTGCTATGTCTCTCAAAATCTTGCTATGTACTTTTCCCTCTAACACTTACTCTTGATGCAGCTTCAAAACCACAACTGTCTCTCCCAAAAGACCACACTAATTTTGATGCCATTTCTCCTTAGTATCATGACAGCAGACTCCGTGAAAGGCTGCTTGGTTAGCAGTGGGCTCTGGTAGGGTGTAGGCCCTGCTAGCAAGGGATTCTGGGAAGGTATGGATCTCAGGAACAAGGGATTCTGGAAAGTCTAGAACATGGGAATAGATGATTCTAGAAAGGTACAGACCCTAAGAACAAGAGGTGTGAATGCTGGGAACAAGGGATTTTAGGAAGACCCAGGTTGTAGGTATTGGGACTTACCTTCAGGATCACCCACTGCATGAGGCCCACATAGTAGAGAACCGACATGACACAGCTGAAGAAAATAATGATCGGCAAAACCTTCCAGGAAAGAAAGCATAAAACCCAAGTTAGAGGCAGGCAAGTGGAAGGGATCCACATAGATCCAAGGAGACCTCAGATAGCCTACTCCATCCAAGGCCTCGCCACTGAGAGGTCTGAGGTCAATGAATGAAACCTTAAATGTCCCATATATGGGGATGCTTTGGAGGCACTTCCATTCACTCTGTTCCAGCTAAATAATGACTACCCACCAGGTCATTCCTCTGCCTTCTGTCTCCAAAGATGAAACCCTGAATATACATCACTTGTACCTGCTCCTTTATTTGTAAGATGGGTATGAAAATGTCTACCTCTTGGGGTTATTGTGAGGGCTAAAGGAGCTGGCTTGCTGAAACCCCTCACAGATGTACCTCTGAACAAAGGCCTAGGGATCTATTGCAAAAAATCAGTCACTGAAAACACTGTGGAGGGGACTGGTGACAAAGATGGCATCTGGTGACACATTCCACCCAGTCCCTCAAGAGAAACTTTAAAAACTGGTTCTTTTTGTTGTTCCCCGCCCCCCCCCCCCAAATTGTTTAAAGAGATGGAAACACTTACCACTAACTTTATATGGAAAGGAAAGAGGCATTGGATAAGCAAAACATTGCTTAAGAAGAACAATGTTGGAGGCCAATTACTCTCTGATCTCAAAATTTCCTTCACAGTCACAAAGGTCAAAATAACCTGGGACTGATACAACAAAAGCTCCATAGATCAGTGGAGTAGAATTGAGAACCGCGAAGCAAATCCATCAATGTACAGTCAGCTGATCTTTGATGAAGAGCCAAAACACATTAATTGGGGAAGACATAGTCTATGCAACAAATGGTGCCAGCAAAACTGGAAACCCATTTATAGAAGAATGAAACAGGACCCATATCCTACACCATATACAAAAACAAATTCAACGTGGATTAAAGACCTAAATGGAAAACCTAGAACAATAAAGATCAGCAGTGAGGAAATAGGGATAAACTTAGGGGCTATCATACGTAGCAGAAATGTACCATCAAACAGAACTAAAATCACATACACAGTAGGAGACAAAACCGATGGCTGAGACTTCCTAAAAATCAGGGACTTCTGTGTATCAAAAGAATTCCCAAAAGAGTAAAAAGAGAGTCCACAGACTGGGAAAACATTTTTTTTTGTAATGACTATCAGACAGAGAACTAATCTCTAAAACTTACAGAAAACTACAACACCTCTACAAGAAAAAAACAAGCGACCCAATGTAACACTGGGCACATGATATGAACAGATATTTTACTAAGGAAGCCATTCAGGCGCTAACAAACACATGAAGAAATGTTCACGGTCATTAGTCATTAGAGAAAAGCAAATCAAAACGACAATGAGATATCATCTCATCCCAGCATTAATAGCAAAATTTAAAACAAAACAAAAAAACAAGAAACAGCAAATGCTTGCTGGTGAGGGTGTGGAGAGACTGGTGGGACTGTAAAATGGTCCAGCCACTTTCGATAACAGTATGGCTTTTCTTCAGAAAATTGGAACTAGAAATACCATATGACTCAGCAATCCCTCTACTTGGTATATATCCACAAGAAATAAGACTCAGGACAGGAGGAGATCTAGGCACATCGATGTTTCATCACAACACTATTCCCAATAGTAAAAAGATGGAGACAGCCTAATTGCCTACCAAAGGAAGAATGGTTAAACAAACTTTGGTACCTACACACAATGGAATACTATCTAAAAGGGTGAAGAATAATGATCAATCTGTGAAACATCTTCTAACATGGATGAACCTGGAGGACACCATGCTGAGTGAAATGAGCCAATCATGAAAGGACATATATTGTAGGAGACCGTTATTATAAAAACTCAAGAAAAGCATTTCATGCTAAAAAAAAAAAAAAAATTCTTTGAGGGTTACCAGGGATGGGAGGAAGATGAGAGTAATTCTCTAGCCAGTAGAGGGTAGACACATATTAATTTGGGTGAAGGGGAGGGCAATATACAAGAAGAAGAAGGTTGACAGAAGAATGATGAAGACACTGTGAGGTATGCAAGTGCTAATGGGAATAAAGGTAAATCATGTTATAGACACAACCTCGGAACAGCAGTGTTCTGTAGATAGACCATGGACAGTCACACAGGCTAAATGGGTATGAGAGGAAGTGTGGGTGTATACCCACTCTTAGATAAGAGTTTGAAAGAGGATATGTGTACTTTTATATTTACCTTTGCAGCAAACACAACTATGAATGTGGTGGAGCATACAGCAGGCACAATGATGAAAACTTCTTTGATATTATCAAACATCTTAAAGCAAGGAGTTGCTGGGTCTAGGGGCTCAGGACTATACCCTCATGGGACACCATGGGCAACTGGCACAACATAGTCCACAAAGACAGTGTTCTACAGCCTACTTGGGTGAGTAGTGTCTGGGATTTTAAAAGCTCATCAGAGACCATCTAAAGTGCAACTACTGATCTTGTCATGTGCAGAAGAAAGAGAAATGATGAGAATGGAAGATGCTTGGAATCAATTAGTCCAATAGACTAATGAATCATGTGAACATCAGTCTCCACAACTCTGAGACCTGAAGAACTAGATGGTGCCCAGCTGCCACTACCAACTACTCTGAAAGGGATCACATTAGAAGGTCTTGGATAGAGGATAAAATGTGGGAAAAAACTAAAAATCATTAAAAAAAAAAAAAAAAAGACTGGGCTTATTGGTAAGAAAAAGACCGAAGGAACCTAGGATATGACCACCCTTTAGGTCAGCAAAGGTGAGTTCCTTTGCAGACTGGCCCAATTTTCAGTCAATCAGTAGATGGGTGTATAGTCGTGGCAGCAACATACACCCATCTACTGCTTGACTGGAAGTTATGCTTACATTCAAACATTCAAAATCAAAAGGTCTACATTTACCTAAGGACAAAATTGAGAAAGGATGGGATGGTGGCCAGAGCATGGAAGAAATGTAGTGACTGTTACTGCATGGAGGGGATTGCAATCATTAAAATGGAACAAAGTGTATGATTTGTTGAATGTAAAATGGACGATCTTGTCTGTAAACTTTCACTCAATTCACAATAAAAAATTAAAAGAAAAAAATTCAGCTTGTGAGTGGTACAATTATTGTTTTTTTTACATCCTTAGCAAAGAAGAAACTATGTCATGAAACAAAATGCATGTGAAGAAACAATTGAGTTGAAACAATTAGTTTAATGACTAACAGACCACAAGAACCTCAATCTCAATGACCCTGAGACCAGAAGAACTAGATGGTGCCCAACTACCACTGCTAACTGCTATGGAAGGGATCACATTAGAGGATCCTGGATAGAGTGGGAGAAAAATGGGGAACAAAATACAAAATCATAAAAAAGACTAGGTTTATTGGTCTTACAAAGACTGGCAGATTCCCTAAGAGTATGGCTCTTAGTCACTTTTTATGCCTGGGACTGAACTCACCACCATGACTCAACTTTCAGCCAAACAATAGACAGGCCACGGCTTATAGGATGAACAATAACACCAGGAAGTTGCGCACTCCTTAGAACAATCAAACATATGACATCAGAAGGGCAGTAATCACCCAGGGACAAAGCTCAGAGGGCAGAAATGGATAGGAAAGAAGGAAAAATGCAAATGGTAAACATAGGAAAGAAGTGGGAAGAGTGTGTTACTTTGTGGGAACTGCAACCATGTCATGAAACAAAATGTGTTGGGACTGTGAAAATGTTCTTTTCTTCTTTCTCTATTGATGAATTTCTCCTTTGTTCCTGTTGTTGTAAGTGCCACTGAGTCAGTCCCAACTCATAGCGACTCTGTATAGGGTTTCCAAGGAGCGGCTGGTGAATTTGAACCACCGACCTTACAGTTCAAACTGACCTTGCAGTTCAGTGCTTATCCACCACACCAGGACAGTTTCCTATAATGGGAGGAAATTACTCAAGGAGAGGGAGTATATGTAGAGGAAAATTGGGGGGAAGACCATCGGTTCGGTTTTGGACTTAGGTTTGAGATGCTCATGGAATGTTCTAAGAACCAGTATTGAGGGGGCAAATTGGATAAGAGCGAAGAAGGCTCAGGGGAGAGGTTTGAGCCAGGCCTGAGTTTAGGACTCTTCCACACAGATGTGCAGGTTGAAGCTATGAGTCATTGAGGAAACTGGCTGGAGTGGGAAGTATATTAGCTAAGGACAGAGCTGTGGGGCTGGCATCATTTAAGGGTAAATGGAAAGGAAAACCCCTGAATGAGCCCAAGCAGAAATAGCCAGAGAGACCGGAAGATATCCAGGACAGGGTTGTGAGGGGAATGCAGGGTGTGAGGGGAAGAGTTTCAAGAATGGATGGTGGGCCAGCTGTGTCCAATGCATTTGGGAGGAAAGGTAAATGTTCATATATGAGGGGGCTTCAAAAAGTTCTGGAAAAATGGAATGAAAAGATAATTGAATCTTCTCATGAAAATTTTGGAGTCCCCTCATCTCTTTCCCCATCTGTTCTTCTCACAGGCTTGTTTAATCTCTGTTAGACCTCAAAAAAGATTGACTTCAGAAAAATCCTACAGACTTCTGGAAAGATGGCAGACCAGGCAAACACACTACATGAAGCTGCTATGATAATGATACAAGAGATCAAATGAAACAGACACAGAGGAAAATTCTGGAACCCTGAACTTCAGAGAAAAGGTTAGAGAAGAGCTCTGAGTGGTTACTGGGAGGAGAAGCTGAGTAGGGACAATGCGAGCAGGAGACGACCGGTGAATGAGCCACCAGTTGCACTGACACCAACTTGTGAGCAGCTTTGACAACGGAAGGTGGCCTGGCAGAGCAGATTCACACAGGCTGTGGGAAAGGTACAATTCCTTCTTTTCCCCACACTGTCCTGATGACCAGAGTTATTGCCAGCTCCCACCCTCCTCCATCCCCAGTGAAGATCCTGCTCTCAGGGATTTCAGAGTCACATAGTTGGGATCCATGTCAGCGTGAGGCAGGGGCCAGCGGTACCACTTTGGTGCCTGGATGCAGGCAGCTTGACCCCAGACCGACAAAATCCAGAGAGCCACCAGACCAGTATTTAACCAGGCAC